ATATATTTCTATTCTTTTCATTTCAACATTTCTGTGCATTATGTTTCAGATTTATCTCTTATAAACAAAACAAAGCTGGAATTTTTGACATCCAGTCTGAACGTATTTGTCCTTTAACAGGCAAATTTATCACTTTATTGTTGTTGTGATTGCCGCTATGTTTTGACTTATTCTATCATCTTATTTTGTGGTTTTCATTAACCCTGCTTTTTTTTTGGATTTATTTTCTTTCCTGCTTCAAAAAAGTGTGTTTTTATATTTCCGTACTGGTTTTAAAATTATTCCATTTTTAGTCTTTATGTTTTCAAACATGGTTACTTAAGTTAAAAATCTAACCCTACCTTATAGGCTTTACCTCTGAGCCCTTCTGACTTCTATCTTCCCTGTTACTGCTGTGGAGCATTTTGGTTCCTCCTCATTTTTATTCCCACCCCTGTTATTCATTATAATAATTCTACAACCAGTGCTGATTTAGATTTACCAGTATGTGTACCAGTACACAGTATGTACAGCCCGTTCCTTCTGGTAGGGGAAGCAGAGAGGGACAGGTGCAGGGACTAGAAGGTTTGATGCGGGAAAATGGAGTTGTTTTCTTCTGACTGTGTCTATGTTCAGAGTGAAATAAGCATCATTGGCTAAGGGGACGCAGGTCATCAGCTGAGGGGAGGGGACAGCAAGTTTGGGACATTTGAAGAAAGAGGAAGAGGTCTGAGGTAGTTGCCGTGGAGAGTGGGGAAAGCAAATATGTGATCCTAAGACATGTATTCGGCCTACCCCACTAGGTTGTAAGTCCATTGAAATAAGAAACAAATCATCTAAGTCTCTGTGTCCTTTCTCTCTAGCACTTAGGGTACACTCAATTCCTGTTTGTTGATGATGCTAAATATAATTTAATCTCAGTAGATTGAAAGTTTTATGTGCCCGGAGGTCAGAATCATCTAAGACAGCATAGACTGGATTGAATTTCTACTGACCCCAGAGCACAACCTGAAAATCAGGAAAAAAGATTTTTTATACAACACTTTATATCAGCTTAAAAAATTGCTTAGGCATTTTCTAAAAAGTAGAGTTCAAGGAAAGTCCTGATTGACCAACTCTCTTAGTTGGTTTGTCTTTGTTTTATTGAAACTACCTTACTTAAAGGTGGGAGGAATGCCAGTTTGCTGGCAAAGTGAAAGGGATTTCTTAGAGACCTCTTTGCCCTCCACATCAGAAACAGAGGGAGTTCTCTGAAACCTGCTTGGGAGCAAAGGGAGGGAGAGGAAGAGCACCTGTGGCTCAAACTGCTACACCTTCCAGACCTCAAGGTGTGCAGTTCTGCTCTCTGACCCAAACCTGTCTTCCACCTCTTCTACTTCTTCTCTGAACCCCCACACTCAGGACAACAGAAGAGTAGCAGACTCCAACCGCCTCTCAGAAGCCTACAAGTCTCCAACCTCTGGGCCTGGGCCCCATCTGGGGATTAACGACTGCCCTGAATGAAAAGTTCATCCTTCCATTTTTCCATTATTTTGCCTCCGGGCAGCTTCCCCACCTTCCCTCACCCTCCAGCCCCCATTTCTTTCTCTCAGTCTCTTTCCTAACTTTCCTTAGAGTTGCTCCACCTTCAGTGGCTCCAAGTCTCTGACCATTGAGATGCCCTGACCCTTACTGCCTCTGAATCTGTATTTGGTCCTGCACCCCTTTCAGCTTCCTGTCTCATCCATTCCTTCCCTCACTCATTCCTGTGCCTAGCTCTGACCTGTTCCAGATGGCTCCTCTGTAACCAGAGAGGAGAGTTTGGTTCTCTGGCTATAAGGACACGAGGTTACCATGAAACTCTATTGAAGAAGGCTACAGAAAGCACCATGGAGTCCACATGCTGCCTTCCCTTATCCTAGTCGCGGCTTCAGTTGTACCTTCTAACCTGCTGGCCTAACCTTTGCCCTGACCATGCTATCCACAGTGAGACTCAGTTTAATTGTGTATCAGTGCCTTCAAATTGGATCCTCTCTCCCTATGACTTACAATTTGGGGCTTATCTTTGAACCCTTGTTTGTTTTCTCTGTTCTCAACACCTTACAGTGTGTCTCCCCTAAAACCAACAATTGTAGAACTTTATTTATTGTCCCTAGAAGACGAGTGCTTTTCTTTGCGAGGTACCTTCTAGAGTCTCCCAGAGTAATTCCATGTTGACTTCTTATTCCTTACTTTGACTGTCCCCCCAAATATCCTCCAAATTTGGTGAAACTCAGATGTGTGTGTGTTTGTTTACTAATAAAGTGATAGAAAAACAGGAAGAAACTCTGTTTTGCTTTTATAGATATATGTCAGCTGGTACTAGAGAACTCAGTGTGGTCACTGTTGTCTGTGTGCCGATGACCTTGTGGCCATCATCCTCCCTAACCATCCACATCACTAAAAACATAATCTTTCATTTTTAAAAATGTTTATTTAGTTTTGAAAGGGAGAGAGAGACACACACAGACAGAGTGTGAGCAGTGGTGCAGTGAGAGAAGGAGACACAGAATCAGAAGCAGGCTCCAGGCTCTGGGCTGTCAGCACAGAGCCCGACGCGGGGCTCAAACTCACAAACCATGAGATCATGACCTGAGCTGAAGCCAGATGCTTAACCGACTGAGACACCCAGGCGCCCCCAAACATAATCTTTCTAATTAATGACCATGATCATAGCACTGTTCTCTTTAATAGCTTTCAACTGCTCCTCATTTCTTAAATTAACACCAGTCATCACCCAGACATCACCTGGACATATTTACCCTAGACTTCATCCCTCAACCCACCTCACATTTTTGTATCAATTATTCTGTGCCTTTGCTGGTGTCATCTCCCCAGTCACACTAGATCCCCTATCAAATCCTGTCCTTTAAGGTTTCTCTCCAAAATCACCTCCAAGATAAAGCCTTACCTGACATCCAGCTGTCTATTCTTTCTTCCTGCTTTAAGCTTCCTTAGTGCTTTGCTTATTTTTGTTTCCTTTGGCTCTCCTCTTATTGCACTTTGCATTGTGGTTTATTATGTAATTGCCCTATTCCTTCATTGGGTCACAAGCTCCTGGAAGGAAAGAATCATGTGTGACTCACCTTCTCATTCTGTTCCAGTCCTAAGCTCTGTGCCTTGTGTGCAGGAGTTGACTAGGATGGAAATGGAGAGGGGGGTGGGGTGGGGAGGGGAGGAGACAGAAGAGAGAATCAGTTCATAGGTCATTTCAGAGTAATCACTGGACCTAAAAAGAGCTGGAAAAAGGATATGGAAGGAAGGGACTAGAGAAAGTATAACTGACTGAAGTAAAGCACAGTCCCCGTCTCTTTTTGCATTGAATCCTCCCAGTGATTCAGGCATCCTGCCTGCACTTCTGTTCCTCCTGTCTTCCCATTATTTCCCTTCCTGCTGAGAAAATTGCTCTGTTAGACACTGAAGTCATTGCCTCAAATCTGGCTCCTAGGCATTCAACATTATTTTTTTCCCCTCTTCAGAATAAGCCTATTCACACCAAGTATATATTTGTTCTCTTGCTTTTACATTACAGATAATCAATTCATATGGAATGAGAAAAGGATGTCTTAAGGCGAACAATAAGACGGTTGGATACATTTGCTTCTTGTGGCCAGGGACATAACTTAATTAACAGAGGGAGCTCTCCAGCTCAGGGCAGGAGGGGAGACAATTGTTAAGAAAATTTTCTGGCCTTGTGTGGTGCGCAGGGCTGCTGTGAACCACCTTGAGCACAGCACAGCCTCCCCCCGCCCACCCCAGCCCTGGCGCGAGCCCTGTTTGGGGGCAAAGGGAGGCGGTGGAAATGCCCAGATACTCTCTGGTGTTTGTGGTTATTGCCTTATCTCCTCTGCAGTGTGTTCTCATTAGTCTTCAAAAGTGGGATTGAGGGTCGTGAGTTTACTGGAGCAGAGAGCAGGCTTGCAAGCCCGGCTCTCTCCTCTTCACTGTTAGCAAGTACCTTCTTTGGTGTCCAAGAGAGGCTAGGACTTCACTGTTTTTGTGCCGTGTGGCCTCTCTCTTTTCTTCATACTTGTGCTAATTATTTCTGTCAGTGATTTTCTTAAGGTATTTTCAAACCCAATATAAAAATATACTAAAATGGAAATAAGGTGACCCTTCCTTCCTTATAGTGGCAGTTCTCACTGAGATGTTCATCACTTTTATTTCTTCCATTTTCTCCACCATATAGGTCTGGTTCAGTGAGAAGATGTTTGAACCATCGTTCCAGTTTTATACCGGGTATAAAATCCCCTTGTGCAAAACCCTGGATCAGTATTTTGAGTACATCCAGTCATTGCCATCCCTAGATAACCCCGAAGTCTTTGGGCTGCACCCTAATGCCGATATCACGTAAGTTCCTGGCATTTTTTATATTTTAAGGAATCATTTGTAACTCAGCCTGGCAGAGACTGTGCATTTCATTTTCTCTCTTAATTCCTCTCCTTTCACTTCTTTTTATTTTGCTGTGAAAAATATTGTCACTTCCTGTCCTCCAATTACACCTTTGTCATATCTTGGCCTCCTTTTCCCTCAGTAAATCCTGATGCTCCGGAGTTTATGACAATGCTAAAGCTCTAATTTATGCATTGATTATTTCTCCTCTGCCATGTCATTAAACCAGTTGGTGTTATTGGCATCGATGCCTTCCACTGATAGGACAATGGTCTCCCAGCTCCTTGCCTCTAACCTCCCCCCCCAAATCCATTAAAAATAATGGTCATACTCGTAAATATGGAGAGCAAACTGAGGGTTCCTGGAGGGGCTGTGGGAGGGGGAATGGACTAAATGGGTAAGGGGCAGTAAGGAATCTACTCCTGAAATCAGTGTTGCACTATATGCTAACTAATTTGGATGTAAGTTTAAAAAAATAAAAAATAAAAAAAAAATAATGAGTCTAAAAAGGCCAGGGGGATAGAGAGAGGAGGAGGAGGAATTGTGTTTCTGCTTGATCCTCTCTTTTGTGGCCCCTGTCTCCTTATTTCCTCACCTGCCTCCTTCTGTCACTAATGCCCACGATGGGCATAGAGCACAGAGCATGGATACAGAGCTGGGAGGAGAGGCTATGGGTCTCAGCTCAACATGAGGTCCCTGCTCTGGTCGCTGAGGTAAGAGATGATGAGTGAAGACACAAGAAATTCACCCAAATCCCAAGCCCCTTCTCAGACCCATCTTTTGGCTGAAGGAGCCTGAAAACAAGGCTATCCAGTTCCACAGAGAGGGCGCCAAGAAACCCCAGCTGGGATTCTTCTCCAGATGGTCATTGCCTCCGGCCCATCGATGAAGAACCATGAAGTTTGTGTCTAGGAGAGTGGTTTCAAGGAATGGGAGAAAGCGAGACTCCTCTGGCAGATTTTAAGCTGGGATGACCGATCGAGAAGGAGTGGGGTGTGCCTCTCTCCTAGTCACTCACCTGCCACTGCAACTGTAACAACTCTGCAAAGGGGCACAGGCATTTCCCACCTTCTGGTTCCCTGCCCTTGCCCAGCATCCCTGGAGTCCCAGCCTCCCTCTGCTGCGTTGTCTCTCTGCCCCTGAATATACACTTTGTCCCTTGCATGAGGCTTGGCTTCCTGGCTTTTGTCACCCATACAAATTCTAACCTCTCCAGATCCTCCCATCTCTCCCATGCTATTTTTCACCTTCAAAGACGTGGGCATGAGCCAGAAGAGCCATGAATGGCTAACACTCTTCAGACCCTGTGATGGAACCATGATGCCTCTTTGGTGATGGCTCTAGCTGTTATTTGAAGAGGCTGTCATAAGTTAGCTGGAGACAGAAAAGAGGTGAAGAAGTAAAAAGGATTCCTCGGGGATCCATTTGGAATCAACTGAAAGATGATCTGAAAGAAGGAACACGGAGAAATAGTTTTACTTTGGCTGAAACTTTAAAAATCTGAGGCAGACTACGTCACTCCTCTGTTCAGAACCCTCCTAAGGCTCCTGTCTCACTCCATGTCAAGGTCAAAGGCAGACAGTGACCTACAGGTGACCTGCTGAGAGGCCTGAGAAAATTGAAACTTAAAAGCTTAAGTTACGGGAAACTGAAACCTAACCAAGCTTAACCAGCTCGTTCCGCTTCTGTACAATTGCTTGGCGCGCCCATGTATTCCTGATCAATCATTATTGCCTGGCACATCCGTATATTCTTGATCAACCATTGTTACTTGGCACATCCGTGTACTCCTGATCAATCATTGTTGCTTGGCACATCCGTGTGTTCCTGATCAATCATTGTGATACCCGTACCCCCGGTTGTGGTCTGACCTAAAGGCAGGAACCAATCGAATACTGTTAAGTGTCCAAGTTTAAACACCAACCAATCGCAGCTCTGTAACTGTGGAAAATTCCTGATTTCCCCATGACTTGTTTGTACCTGTCTATAAAAGGGGTGTAAAAACGTCTCTCAGGGCCTCTTGGCGTCACCGGCAACGGGGGCGCAGAGGTCCAGGTTCGAACCTGCAATAAATGACCCTTGCTGCTAAGCTTTGACTCTGGACTCTGGTGGTTTGTTTTTGGGGGTCTCTTAGACTCTGGGCGTTTCACTGCAAGGCCCAGTAAGACCACCTGCCCCCAGGAGGTTGGCCTCCTCTGCCCTTTCCCTCACTCACTGCTCAGCTTTAGCTCCTGCTAGCTTCCTGGTACTCAGGCCAGATGCCCTCCCCCACCGCCACCACGGGATACTTGTATTTCCCGAAACATCCTTCCCCCTGGATATCATGGCTCACCTTTTCACCTCTTCCGGCCTTTTCTTAAATGTCACCTTTCCAATGATGTCTTCCCTGGCTGCCCTATTTAAAATTTGCAGATCACTCCCCAGCCCTCACCCCAGACTCTATCCTCCTTGCTACTTTTTTCTTTAGATTGTATCACCAACAGACATACTCCATATTTACTTATTTATACTTGCTATCATCTACCTACCATCATTAAACATAAGCACCATCATGTCTGAAACTTTTGTCTATTTTTACTGCATATCTCTAGTGCTAAACAGTGCCTGATGCTCAGGAAATATTTGTTGAATGTGCCGGCAATACTAAATTTCTCTGGGTTGTGAAGAATCTAATGAACAGGAATGGTCTTTAGAAATAGCTCATGAGTTCATGTGAATGGGCAGAAAAATGGCACTTGTCAATTAGTAATTGAAGTGGCTCACGTATGAGGACTCTGAACTTTGATTTCATCCTTGGCAAGAGTCCAAGGAGTCATTTAAAGCTGGTACCTAGAGAATCGGATCCTGTTGGGCGCTGTGTAGGATTCTGCCAAGGAATATATATTAAAGCAGGGTTGAAATCATCTCATCCTGACTTACCCATATGACTGTGGCAGTTTGGGCCGTCAGCTCTCAAGAAAGATAAACGAGAACTAGAGAAGGTCCAGGAGGACCTGGGTGGCTCAGTCGGGTAAGCATCCGACTTTGGCACAGGTCATGCTTTCACAGTTTGTGGGTTCGAGCCCCGCATTGGGCTCTGTGCCGACAGCGTAGAGCCTGGAGCCTGCTTCAAATTTTGTGTCTTCCTCTCTCTCTGCTCCTCCCCTGCTTATGCTCTTCCCCTGTCTCTCAAAAATAAATAAATGTTAGAAGAAGAAGAAGAAGAAGAAGAAGAAGAAGAAGAAGAAGAAGAAGAAGAAAAGGTCCAGAGAAGTGCAACTAAAATGTAATCCAGATGGGAGGTGATGGTAGAGATTTTTTTCCCTTGACTTTTTATTTTGAACTATTACAAACCCTCAGAAAAGTTGCAAGTACAGTCAACACTACAGACCCTTCACCCAGAGTCACCAATCGTTAACATTTTGTACCATTTGCATTTTCTCTTTCTGTATGTATATTTTTGTATATTTATATATCTACAGTTACATCTGTATGTGACCACATCTATTTCTGTGCGTGTGTGTGTGTGTGTGCGTGCGCGCACTTGTAACCCCTCTCAATGGACAGAGCTAAGAAATAAGCACTTTTAAAAACATCATGAGCTAATATTAATAACTCCAATTCCAAATGTTCACCTCATGTCTTTCCTTGTCTTCCCTCATTTCAGTATTGTTATCTCCTGTCTCCCATGGGAAGAACTCTGGTTCCCAGGAAGTTCAATATATTTACTCATTTGCTCCGAATCACTCCACCAATACCACTACCAACAACAAATGTATTAAGTGGAGGTCAAGATTTCTTTGCAGTTCTTTTTGTCCCTAGAATACATCCAGTTGAGGTTGTCAGAGTACTATATTCAAAACTCACTCAGATTGTTTTTTCTGTGTGGTTATGCTATCAGTTAGGTAGATAGGTACATTCATTTGTTTCTGTTCATATTACACTGAGTTTTTGTCCCTCCTTGTTGGTTATTTTAAATATGTGAGACACGGGCATGGCTTGAAAGTCACAACTACATAATAAGGTATTCTCACACCTTTCCAACCCATTTCCCCTTTCCTCTATGGGCAAGCAAATGCATTTGTTTCTGGGTTATCGTCCCTGTTTCTTTTTTCTCATACATAGATACACATATGTTCTTATTACCTTTTTTCTTAAATGAAGTTGTCATACTATATATATATATGTATATATATAATTTTGTGTCTTGTCTTCTCCAATTAAAAATGTATCTTGTAATCACTCCATTCTATGTTCCCATGTCTTCCTCACTATTTTTTTTTTTTACACCTGCATGCTCCTCCATTGTTAACATGTATCATAGTTTATTCATCCATTCTCCTATGGGTGGGAATTTAGGTTGTTTCCAATATTTTGCTACCCCAAATAATTCCTCAATTAATGATCTCATGGTTCTGGTTTCTCGTGTGGTTGGAGATGTATTTTTAGGGTAATTTGGTACAGGTAGAGTTGCTATATCAGGGCTTAGTAAATATTGCCAACCCCCCTTCCATAGGGCTATTCACTCTCACCAACAACATGATGAGGCCCTTTCTTCACAGCCTCATCAACAGAGTGTGGGTGAAACTTCTGAATTTTCACCAATGTGACAAGTGAGAAATGGTATCTCGGCATAGTTTTAATTTGTATTCTCTTATTTTGAGTGAAATGGAGTACGTTTCCCTATATTTGGAGGCTACTTAGACTGAGACTGTCTTGGAGACCCTGTGGATAAATCTGGATGTGGATTGACGCAGGCTGAGATGAGGGATGATGAGAGGATGGAGAGGGTAGAGCAAAGCTGCAGGACACGTCCCTATGGAGACTGGTGGGATTTAGTGAGTAGAGAGAATCGTGTGTCGTTTTCATCCATTCGCTGCTATCTGAGGGGTAGAGAGCACAGCGAGCCTTCTGTGCCTTTTGGCAGCTCTCTTTACCGCTCTGTCCAAAGGCCTATATGCCATCACTGGCAGGCATGC